TGTGTGTGTGGGCTTCTTTGATGTCTCCGGATTGAAAGGGATGGGGTGGGGGATGAAAATAAACCCCCTTGCCTGCCCGTGACTAGGATGCTGCCCGGATTCTTGCAGGACCCGGTCCTCCCCATGTCTGGCAGTTGGCAGGTCAACAGGCTGGATCCTGTCCAGGGCGCAAGCTACATAATGGACGGCCACAGATTTCAGCCACCATTTAATCTGGAGCAGCTGAATTTTTCTTCTGGCTGTTTCCTCCGTGTAAAACCTTCAGGCATGGGGGTGGGGAAACCACTGGAACCGGGGTCTCCGGGGAAAGCTTTGCGGTTTAAACAAGAACCGTCGAAGGCTGCTCACCCTTAAAATGGAGGTCTTCCGTGGTGAACGGTTCCCCAATTGAATGACTTTTTCAGCGTCTGATTTTAGCGGGACCTATGGCCATTGAAAGTGGCTAGGAACCCGAACAAATAAATGGGATTCTTTTGTCCCCTGGGGACTGAAATAGAAAGTAAAATTCCATCTCATCCATGAGATAGCTTTTTCTGGGATAAGAGGCGGGTTATCAGAATTGATGGTAATGTAAGGTCATCCAGTCTGACCCCACATCTGAGGATCGCCCACTCGCTGTCTCCTTCAGAATCAGAGCAGATCTGCTCCCTTAATAAGATGCTGCTCCTTAGCAGTAGAGGAGGAAGAAGAGGAGTTAGTAGTGGAGGAGGAGGAGGAGGAGGAGGAGGAGGAGGAGGAGGAGGAGGAGGAGGAGGAGGGGAAGGAGTTAGTGGTAGAGGAGGAACAGTTAGTAGTAGTGGAGGAAGAAGAGGGGAAGGAGTTAGTAGTAGAGGAGGAAGAGTTAGTAGTAGAGGGGGAAGAGGAGGAGTTATAGTAGAGGAGGAAGAGGAGAGGAAGGAGTTAGTGGTAGAGGAGGAAGAGTTAGTAGTAGAGGAGGAAGAAGAGGGGAAGGAGTTAGTAGTAGAGGAGGAAGAGGAGGAAGAGTTAGTAGTAGAGGAGGAAGTAGAGGAGGAGTAACCACTATAGTAGTTACTTCCCACAATCATCATACAGTAGCTACTAAGTGATTGGTCATAAGAGAAGGACTATCAATATAGTGAGAAGTCAACTCCCATAAACATAGTCCTTGACTTTTAACCAATTGGTTAGTGGCTGTTTTAAATTACAACAGGCCTCCAGAGGGCTGCTTACAATCTGGATTCGAATCCTGACAGCCTGAGTGGCTCTGCAGTCACAAGATTGCAACTTAGGTGGTCAGTGATCAGCCTGAATTTATGTCCATTTACGGCCCTATAAGCAGAATTTTATGTTTTTGCCATAAACTGGTGTTTACTTTCAGCAAAACATGTCCACTGTCGACCATGGATTTGTTTAATGACCACTGCAAAACAGGTCATAAAATGGAGAACAGCCATTTGGTGATCATCTTAAAAGCCGGCCCGATTTAGGGATTGTAATTCCAGGCTCAATGCTGGTCATAAATCAAAAACGACAAATTCCAAAATAACTTCTCCCAGGTGTCATATGGCCCCGCCCATTTGCATTGTGGCCCCGCCCACTTCAGACCACAGCCCCCCCCTTCCTTCAATGTTCGGTGCAGTTTTGATCCATTAAAATATTAACTCCTCCAATTTACCGATGTTCCCAAAAATAAAATTACATTCACACCGGGTTTTGGTTGACCAAGCCAGGCAACCTGTTTGCAGATGAGTGCAGATAGTACTTACAACTTTTGTTTAGTGACCATTCAAAGTTACAACGGCTCTGAAAAAGGCGACTTACGACCGTTCTTCATAGTTACGACCATCGCCCTACCCATGATCAAAATTCAGATGCTTGGCAACCGCTTCACATTTATGACTGTTGCTGTGTCCCTGGGGTTGTGCGATCCCCTTTTGTGACCTTCTGACCAGCAAAATCTACTTGGGAAGCAGAGTTTGCTTAGCGGCCGGGTTACTAACTTATCAACCGCAGTGATTTGCTTAACAGTGGCAAGAAAAGTCGTAACATGAGCCAAAGCGTGGCCAATGCCTCCTTCAACGAGTTAAATTTTGGGCTCCATTGTGGTCGTAACTCAAGGACCATATCGTGCCCCAGCATATAATCTTTTATATGCTGTTGTTGCTCTCTAGCCCCATTGAGTGGCCAGAGGGACAAATATGCCCCAACATATGATCTTTATATACTGTTGTTGTTCTTTAATCCCATCTGGAGAGACAAATGCCAAGTATATTGTTTGAAGCTGACCCAACCCCTTTACCCATCAGCCCAAACTCTCAAAACAAGACTTTAGCATTTGGAGGACACAGAAGCACAGAGAAGAATCCATCTTAATCCGTGAAACATGGTCATCCAAGGACAAACCCACATCCCACATGCAGAGCATCGCTGGTGAGATTTAAATTATTCTTATTTATTAATTGTTATGTTTGGCAGTAATCCAATACTGCTTGTCTTGTATTTGGTTCTCATTGTACGTATCCCTGTTTTCTCCAGTTTCACCATATCCTGTTCCTTCAAGCCTTCAGATCTACACACACGGTCTGTTTTATTGGAGGATAGGTAGGTTTAGCAGCCTGTCGAGCTGCACATAGACTAACGTGTAGTGAGGACAGAACAGACCGCCTGTCACGATAAGATCTGGATTAAATAAAGGAATTCAAACAAACAAACAAATAAACCACACCAAAAAGATAGGACAAAAAAATTTGCTTTATTTTAACGATTAAAAACATCCTCTTTCTGAGGGGGGGGGGAGCAGCTCGTAGCAAAATTGTAAAGGCAACAGAAGGTGAAATTACACACCGAACAGCCCTCAGTTAGTGGTCACAGCTCAAGAACGAAAAAGACATAGTGCAAATACTTGTTATGACCTTTACCCGCGCTCAATTTGAGGAACAAAACAGCAGGACGATGAGGCCTCCAATTCAGTGATTTCTTAACTACCTCTGCCAGCCAATGAACAAATAGACAGTATACATGGATATATATATGAATTTACACGTTAACAGAGAGACACATGAAGAATTTGGCACCTGGAACACCCAGTCAATCATAAATTAAGAATAAAATAGAATCAGAGTTGGAAGGGGCTTTGGAGGTCTTCTAGTCCAACCCCCTGCTTAGGCAGGAAACCCTACACCACTTCAGACAAATGGTTATCTAATCTCTTCTTAAAACCTTCCAGTATTGGAGCATTCACAACTTCTTGAGGCAAGTTGTTCCACTGATTAATTGTTCTGTCAGGAAATTTCTCCTTAGTTCTAAGTTGCTCCTCTCCCTGATTAGTTTCCACCCATTGCTTCTTGTCCTGCCCTCAGGTGCTTTGGAGAATAGCTTGACTCCCTCTTCTTTATGGCAGCCCCTCAGATATTGAAAGATGCTATCATGTCATCCCTAAATCTTTTTTCCCCCCATTAAACTAGATATACCCAATTTCTGCATATGTTTTATCCTCCAGTCCCCTCATCATCTATGTTGTTCTTCTCTGCACTCTTTCCAGAGTCTCCACATCTTTTTTTTACACATTGGCGACCAAAACAATAACATTAATTTAGCAGTCTCCCTCCTGGCCCCTGGACGTCTATTTTTTTTCTGGAGAATTGACTCCCATAGCTTCCTCCAAGTTGTATTTTACCAACCTAAATCCCAGAAGCCACACTGAGAACCAGCATAGGTAGTTCTCGACTTACAACAGTCCATTCAGCGACCATCCGAAGTGACAACACTGCCTCCAAAAAGGGACTTACGACCGTTTTTTTCTCCCACAGATATAACCTTCGCATTGTGACGTGATCAAAATCGAGACGCTTAGCAACTGACTCGTCTTTATGACGGTTGCGGTGTCGATGGGGGAGCAAGGTTCGCTTAACAACCATGTCACCAACTTGATTCACTGAACAACTGTGGCAAGAAAGGTCATAAAAATGGAGCAAAGGTCACCTGACCCTTGTCTCACTTAACAACATAAATTCTGGGCTCTGTCATGGTCGTAAGTCAAGGATCACCAGTGGCGTCCCGGGTTTCTCTTCAAAATGTCTACCTCTCTTGGGAGAAATTACGGCACCATTTACAATTTTTTCCTTTTTTAAAAAGTTTGTCTCAAGCTTGTGTTTATTTGCATTCTATGGGCTTTGTAAAAATAAAGATAAATAAAACGACTGGGCAGAGAGCCAACACAGATTTTATGGAGGTTTTCCCCCCTTTTTTCCTCCCTCCTCTTGCCTAAAAATATAATGAAAACTGAGGCACTGCTTTTATTATTATTATTATTCTTTTTTTAAAGAAAAAAAGAAATCAGACGGTATTTGAATCCAGTCAGGGTAAACAAAGCTTGGGATGGTTTTTTTAAAAAAAATCTTAACTGGTTAACGTGGATTTTAGTGGGTTTAATCTAAACCAATGTTGGATACAGGTAGTCCTCGACTTACGATGGTTCATTTAGAGACCGTTCAGTTACAAGGATACTGAAAAAAAGTGACTTTTTCTTCTTCGTACGGTCACGTGATCAAAATTTCAATGCTTGACAACTGACTCCTATTTACGATGGTCGCCGTGTCCTGTGGTGGAGGGGAAATCAGGCAGATTCCCTTTTGCAACCTTCTGACCAGCAAAGCCAACGGGGAAGCATGATTCTTGTGACTCACTGAACTGTGGCAAGAACGGTCATAAGATGAGGCAAAATTCACTTTAACGGATGTCTTGCTTAACAACATAGATTTTGGGCTCAATTGCGGTCGTACGTCGAGGACTATCTCTGTTTTTCTGCCACAGACCACTTCATCACCTGTTAGGTCGTATGCCAGCTTGTTTTGGAGAATTTTGGATTTGAAATCCAGAAAAAATAGTGTGTGTCTGGGGGGGAAACCGCCATCGCCCACTTCACTGATGTGAAAGAAATCATAACCTCATTTAAGAACACTTTTAAGAATTTAAGAACAATTTTGTAAAAATAACCCTGATTTTTCCAATCATATTTATTTCAGAGTAATTGGGTGTACACCTCATATTTGTCACTATAAAGCAGTTTTTCTCAAACTCAGAAATTTTAAGATGGGTGGACTTCAACTTCGAGAATTCATGCTGGCTGGGGGAATTCTGGGAACTGAAGTCCACCCATCTTTAAAGTTGAAAAGCACTTTAAAGTTGAAAAGCACCCATCTTTAAAGTTGAAAAGGACACAATCCACAATGAATACCGCTAAATTCTGCTCTTAAAAGTTTTCTTTTATCCTTCATACAAAGTCTAGTTTATTTACAGCTGTTTGGACATTCAATGTGCAAAATTTCTTTCTTTCTATTGGCTGTGCTTTGAAAAAATAATTTACTTACAAAAGATTTATCAACAAAAGATTCCAGGTATTTTCCATCTTTCTTTTTTTTTCTTTGACTTTTTTTTTTGTGTAAATCTAGGATTCGCTTCCACAGAACACAGAAAAAAAGAACGATTGGCTAGTAAAAAAGTTTCACCGTAAAACGTGATTCGCAAAGAAACAGTTCCGGTGGAATTATTACATATATGTATAGAGAGAAATTTTCAGCTTTCCATAAATTCACAAAAATAAATCTTCAGTTGCGATACACGATGGACAATTGGAAGGTCAAATTGCCGCCAAGGGGAAAAAAGTCAAATCAAATTACTGCATGTTAGAGAAGCTGCCTTCGTGCCGCTAAAGGTTATTCTGGATTGTATCTTTGCTTCCTTCATTTTTTTTTTTTTTTTAGCCAGGCAAATACCTGGAGTGTTTCTCCAAAAAATGCATTTTATTCTTTCCTCCTCCTTTTTAAAGAAGGATCTTTAAAATGCCAAGCGCATATACTTCGATAACTTTCAACACAAGCTCCCTGTTCAGGGTCAAAGACATCTAAAAGTTCTCTCGAGAATGATTGTGCAATTTGAGAACACAAATTGCAATTTCACAAGAGAACAATCCCCTCTACAGATTAAGATTGAAGAAGCCAAGAAAAAGATCCATCAGATTTCTGCAACCCTCAGTGGATCCGAAAAGGGAGCGGACTCCAAAGGCCAAATGAAACCATTCCTGGTGGCCAAAACGCCGACAAAAAAGGAGGAATTTTTTTGGGGGGGGTGGGGTGGGGAAATAAATTGGGGTGGGGGTGGGGAAACATGGAAAGATCTGCAGGAAAGAAAAATAGACTTGACTATCCGGTCGCTGGTGACAGATTTTCTCAAGGCCACGTCCAGCCCAATTTCTCAAGTCAGAAGAGGTTCGTCGTCGCCATTCCAGCTCTCGAAGTTCTCAAGTTGCGGGTCAGTGAGAGGGACGAGAAGCACTTCGTCTTCATCATCAGGAGATGGAAACATGCTCCGTTCCTCTCCAGCCTCCGCGGAGCAGGTGAGCGTGGGGGAGAAAAGCCGGACACGGAGGCTGCGCATGACCCCCGTAAACCGTGGAGTAGGCCGCGGGATGTGAGGAGCCGGCGTGGGTTCCACAGGAACTGGTGGGACCTTGGCAGCAAGAAGCGGCGCTTGGTCTTCTGGAAGCTGGGAAGAAACATTTCCGTTCCAATGGGATGGTTCGGCCAGGTCATCAGGCGCGGGAGATGAGTTAGGGGCGGCGGTGGAAGCCGTAGTTGAAGATGAGGCGGGGGAAGCCAGGGCAGGGAGTAGCCCCAATCGGCGCATACGCCTCGTCAGACGTCGTACGAAGCGGCTTTGATGGGGACGACATGCCCCATTGGTTCCCGCAGGGCTGGCTGGGTCCCGTCGCAAGAGATGCAGGAGGGACCGCAAATTCCCCAGGACCGAATTCTGAAACGAGAACCCGGAAAAAAGTCAGATCTTCAGCTTCACACATTCACAGCTTGAAAAAGAAAGCTGAAGTTGAGAGTTGTCCCTTGGACTACAGGTAGTCCTCGGCTTACAACAGCTCATTGAGTGATCGTTTGAAGCCACAATGGCACGGAAAAAAAGTGACCTACGACCGTTTTCACAATTACCACTGTTGTGGTATACCACACAATCAAAACTCAGACACTTGGCAACTGGTGCATAGTAATGATGGATCCAATATCCCAGGGTCGTAAGATTCCCCACTTTGTGCCCTTCCAACAAACAAAATCAACCGGAAATGATTCACTTAACAACCATTTTACTAACTTAACATCTGCAGCGATTCACTTAACAACTGTGGCAAGAAAGGTTGTAAAATGAGGAGAAATTCACTTTACTGTCTCACTTAGCAACTTAGCAATTTTTTTGGGGGGGGGGTCAATCGTGGTCATAAATCAAGGATTATATGGAATCCTAGTTCTCCTTGGTAGAAATTTAAGAGTGATTGCTGTGGTTGGGTGTCTCTTACAGTTAAAAGACATACCTTTAGAAAGGGCCTACAGAAGACCATGAAAAGAAGTAGTAGATCTTAACAGTTTTGGGGTCTTCGTGAGATGGACCAAGAATGTCTTATGACTTTTTAGGAAGACCAGCAAATGAGGAACATCACAAAAATGGGCCCATTGGCCCTCAAGACTACAAAGTCAATAGTACACACCCATGTTTTTATCCATCATTCATTCTTGTCTTCTGCTGCTCTACAAACCTCTTGAGATGTTGCTTCTCAACCTTCACAGATAGGTATATTATACATAAGTACAGATTAATAGAGTTGGACGGGACCTTGTAGATCATCTAGTCCAACCACCCCCTCCGCCCAAGCAGGGAACCCTACGCCATTTCTGACAAGATGGCAGTCCAGTCTCTTCTTGAAAGCCTCCAGGGATGAAGCTTCCACAACTTCTGAAGGCAACTTCTGTTCCATTGGCAACTTCTGTTCCATTGTTCTCACTGTCAGAAAATGTCTCATTTCCAGGGTGAATTTCTCCTTGTTCAGTTTCCATCCATTGTTCCTTCACTGGCCTTCTGTGCCTTGGAAAATAGCTTGACCCCCCTCCTCTCTGTGGCAGCCCCTCAGATATTGGAAGGCTGCTATTCTGTCTCCCCTATTTCCCTAGACTAGCCAGGCCCAGTTCCTGCAAACATTCATCGTGTGTTTTAGCCTCCAGTCCCCTCATCATCCTGGTTGCTCTTCTCTGCCCTCTTTCTAGAGTCTCAACATCTTTTTTATAGTGTGGTGGCCAAAACTGGATGCAGTACTCTAGGCGTGGCCTTACTAAGGCTTTACAGAGTGGAATTCACCTTTTGGTTTTTTACACTTAATTAAAGGACCATTTTAAAGGTGCTTTTCTCATTGGTCATATTAAGCAGTCTTCCTGACCTGGAAGCCCCATAGTCACCATTTCCCCCCCAGAATAATATGCAAGTAATCCTTAATTTATGACTATAATTCAGCTCAGAATTAGGGTTGTAAGTTATGGTGGTCTTTAAATGGGTCATCATGGGACCAACTCAATTTCACAACATTTTTTTTGTCCTATGTCTAATCCTCCACTAATTAAATAAGTTCATTTGATCCAGTGGGTGGTTTTGCCAGAAACTGGAAGCAAATGCCAAAAATTCGGGGGGGGGGGGGATATCACAAATCAAAAATAATGTGACCACAACACACATAATACAAATCATTGTGAACATGAGCCAGTAGCCAAGCGTCCAACATATGTGGCCACAGGGAGATGGTATTGGTGGGATCATCTTAGGAGTCTTGGGGTCGGGTATGTGATAAGTTGTTAAGTGAGGACTACCTGTATATTTTGCTTGTCGGACATAATTTCATGGAAGGACTTGCCCCCAATCAAGACGCTAGAGCAATTTCATTGTGGGCCACATCAGGGTTGTGGTTGACCTCGGGGGCGGGGGGCGGGCAAGGGGTGTGTGGCTGACTGGGTAGGTGTGGCCATCTTGATGCCACTCACTGGGTGTGGCTGACTAGGTGGGCGTGACCCTCTTCACACCACTCCTCACTGGTGCTCTTCTGAGTCTTCAAACATGGCCACTTTAGGACTTGTGGACTTCAACTCCCAGAATTCAGCATGGTGGGCTGAAGAATTCTGGGAGTGGAAGTCAAGTCAGTTTGGAGACCTCTCTGGTCTTGAGGAAGGTACGTGAAGAGTGTTGGGCCCACTTACCTGATTTGGATGCTCAACCGGGAACCCTTCTACTGGAGGAATAACCCCGCGAGCGATGAGCTGCCCGTAAGATGGTGGAGCCTGGCGCTGAAGCAGCTGGGCCTCCATTCGTGACATAGGTGCTAAGACTCTAAAGGAGGGAGAAATCAAGAGAATGATAATCGTTGTTCCATTCTTAAGCGTGTAACCCTGATTCGCCATCCTTACCCTTCCTTATTTTCTTAGCAAGATTTTATCAACTGCGCAACCTCCAGCTGTGTGGACTTCAACTCCCAGAATCCCATTGGCATCATGGCCAATGCTAAGGAATTGGTTCACCTTCCTGGTGGACAGCTGAGTTGGGGAAGGTTAGTCTCCTTAAAAGAGTATTTTCTCTAGTTTCTTTCCTAGTTTTTCCCTGTATGAGGAGAAACCACTGCAATTCATTGGTCCTTCATTCTCACTGGGTTGGTATGTTCAAATTTATAAATCTTGGAGGACCTTTATGATTGTCTACAGCAGCCTCAGCAACCTTAAAATGCATGGACTTCAACTCCCAGGATTCCTGAGGATGTTTATGATTGTCTAGAGCAGCCCTAACAATCTTAAGATGCATGGACTTCAACAGGCTTGAGGAAGGAAGAATTCTGGGATTTGAAATCCACACTTCTTAAAACTGCCAAGGTTGGGTAACATGAAACGCTGTCCTGGGGTCAGCCCTCATCCCTAGGATGCAACTCCCTCTCCCATCAGTCCATTCACCACAGGTCCCTGCCTCCCAATATTAGCCCCTCTAGCGCATCAACTCTATCCCCATCCTCCTTTCCAGCCACCATACTACCAAAGTCCCACCCTTTATTTCCCTAACTGACCCCTCACCCAAATTCATGGCTCCGGAGCGCATACAGACGACATGTGCAGCCCAGTGCGATGACCAGAAGGAGACCACACACCAGGCTGCCGATGACGGCCGCTGTCACCACCTTTCGGGGCAGGATGTAGGAGCAATCCGCCTCGTCCGAAGTATCGACACAGTCCGCCTGCCCGTCACACACCCAGCTCTCGTAGATACAGCGGCTGTCTCTGCACCGGAAGTTCCCAGGCTGGCAGGTGTAACAATGGCGTTCATCAGCGGCATCCGCACAAAACGTTTGGTAGTTGCAACGATCGGCGGGACTGTAGCAGACGGCACCTCCAATGCCTCGTCCTCCACAGGGATACTGCCCCGGTGGGCAGCCATGGCAACCGTCCTCATCAGCGCCATTGGCACAATCCCAGTTCCCATCACAGCGCTCAGCAGTGCTGTAACATGTAGCGCCCTTGCCGCTGTCTCCTCCACAGGGGAAGTCCCATGGCACACAAAATCCTTGCACGTGATATGTAGCATTGAAACCCCGTCCTTCTGTTCCTGGCACTGCTTGGTACACTACCCATGCCTGGCTTGATGGGGAGTCAACCAGCACAATCTTGTTGTTGCTGGTGTAATCCAAGTTACGCAGCAAGTGAGGGTGGAGCGGGGTGCCGGGTACCCCATCGTACACTCGGATGGAGTCTCCAATATCTAAGTTAAGGACCGTGAAGCGAAGGATGAGGGGACGGCTATCATGGGCATCCAGAACCCACTGGCAATGTGCAGCGCCCAGTTGTGAATCCGAGTTGAAGGCGGGGGAATAAATCACCCCGTAGAAGTCGTCCAAGGTGCGGTTGCATGACACAATAGGCTGTGTTTTAGGTTCTAAAGCAGAGAACGATGAAAAAGGCAAGACACAAAAGTGACACCATTTTCATTATGTAGCAGGAGACCCACAAAATAACTTCTTTCTCTTCTACTTGTGTCTACAATGTCTCTCTAGAGCAGGGGTCGCCAACCCTTTGGACCTCAGGGACCACCAAACTCATAATTTTAGATCCCAGGGACCACTAACTGGTTCTGTGGTGTGGCCTAATTTGTGGGTGTGGTTTGGTAGTCATGTGACTGGCTGGGCATGGCTTGTATGTAAATATTATAAATAATTATATAAATATTGAATTTTTTATTAAAAAAAAGAGCAACTTTTACCCAAAATCAGGCAAAGCAGGCAGGCAGATTAAGTTGCTCACAGAATCACAGATTCATTCAGAAATCTATCTGCCATCAGCTAGCTCAGTCTGTCACATAAAATTTCCTTGCAAGCAAACTCTTAAAATTTGGTTGCAAGCAAATTCATAAAATTAACTCACAACACACCATGCATGTAAATATTGATTTTTTCATTAAAAAAAAGTAACTTTTATCCAAAATCAGGCAAAGCAGGCAAATTGAATTGCTCACAGAATCATTCAGTAATCAACTTCCGGTGACATCGCGGCATGGCAAGGTAGGAGAACTCCGCTCTGCTCTCCTACGTCAGGGTTTTTGTTCGCGGGTGACTGTTCGAGGTGGGAATCAGATCCTGGCAGGATCACCCAAGTGAGGGAGAACTCTCGGAGCCTAACTGGGAATTGCAACCATGGAGGTAAAGAAGGGAGCCTGAAGCTCAGGGCAGAAGAAGCCAGCCTGTTGAGGCTGGCCCAAATACACGACGGAACAAGTTTAAGAAGGAAGCGGAGATAACATATCGAATTTTTGTGGGTGGACAAGAACTCTGAAACTTTGAAATGGAGTGGAGGAGTGACAGTGCAACTTGCGGTGGTGGCCATTGAGACTGGCAATTCCAGGAGAGTGGAGGAAGGCAGTGGAAGTGACTGTTAGAACTGAGAAATGAGACCTCAATTTATTATTGGATATGACCGGAATATCAAGGCAACGACAGGAAAGTGGCAGCCTGTAAATGCTCATCTCGTCCGGTGTTTTTTTCTTCTTCTTTTTTTCTCTTGGAACTGATTGAAGTGGTATAGATTCACTTTATATTTATTTATAGTATATATTCAAGTAATAAGAAAATAAGATTGATTTAACTTGAGTAAGTGATATTTAATCCCTTTGGATTATATTCTATAGTTTCTTTCTCTTCTTTATTTTACATATATATTGATTGAATATAGATTAATGAATTTGATATACTGATTAATATAATGATGAGTTAATTGATTGTTCCCTCCCTCTCTTTCTCATATCCTTCTTATATTGGATACTGTGATTTACTGGAATATAAAAAGTATTAATTTGAATGTTGAACTTTTATTATATATCTAGGGAAATATTAGCTGAAATACAGTAATTAATTTAAAGAAGCGACTGGGGTTATATTATTGCTATATATCTAAGTACAGCTGAGTGATTTTTTTTCTTTTTTCTTTTATCTGTTAGACGATTTAAGAACTGATGAGTTATTGAATTTATTAAGACCAGGTATTGTATTAATACAAGGTGAAGGGAATATCTAGAATAATAGGTAGGTTTGGAAGTTTGAATATATAATTATTAACTGATGATAATTCCCTTAATCTAATGGTGGTAGGAAATTAGATTTAAGCAGATAAACAGTAGTCTAAAGTAAAATTTTAGATAACTGAGAAAATTAAATCATAAAATACAGATAAGTTTGATGGTAGTTGGCAATATAATCTGGGAAAATATATTTAGGATAGTGGACGAACAACAAAGAATTAGCAAAGATATGACTAGTACAACTACCACTATTACAGAAACAGGAAGAAAAATAGCATCAACAGTAACACCATCTACCCCCACAGTAACATTGACCCAAAAAACGATTGAAGGGATGTTGGCGCCAGAAAAATCCACAACCCAAACTAATACGCAATCGGTTCAAACTACATTATTAACTATTCAAAGCACGATGTTGGCAATGCAGGAGTCGATGTCTAAAAATCATACAGAAAGTAAAGCAGAAAGAGAAACAATGAAAGAAGAATTAAAAAATAAGTTAGGAGAAATGAGAAGTTAAGAATTCGGATGGAAAGATAGGCCAGATACAGGAATTGATTAAAATAAATGAAGAGAAGATTAAAGAGATTGAAAAACTAGCTGATCAAATGGAAAAGAAGTTGGAAGGCATGGAACAAAAAATTATGGAACAGAATAAAGAGACAAATGAGACCCTGACTCATCTTGAGATGGATAAGGCCTCCTATTATCTAAGGTTCCAGAACATAGAGGAAGAGAGGGGTGAGAATTTACCATTGGTGATGGCGGAGATATTGGCAGAGCTTTTGAATAGAGATAAGAATGAGATGGTGAATGAGCTGGACGACGTATATAGAATGTACATGAGCTACGCGAGACGGCACAGACTACCCCGAGAAGTGCATATTAGATTTTCAAGGAGGCGAGTGAAAGATATAATTTATAGAGTTACAAGAGATGAAGGAATAAAATATAAAGGAAGAGAAGTGATTGTTTTAAAACAGGTTCAGAGAAGAGTTCGCAAGCAGAGGAGAGATTATCGATTTCTCACAAATAATTTAAATAAAAAAATATACCTTTTAGATGGATTATCCCAGAGGGTATTTTAGTAATATGGAAGGAGAAAAGGGTGAGAATAGATAGTCTGACTAAAGCTCAAGAATTTTTTGCTCAAATAGGAGGAATAGATGGAAGAATCGAGCAGCAGAGATGACCACAAGACCTCGAGTCAAGAAGAGTTACAACTTAGAAGTAGGGGGAGGGATAAGGAGAAGGAGAGGGAAGGAGGTGAAGAGATACTTGGAAGAGAAGAATTAGGAGTGAGGACTAGAAGTCAAACGACGAGTAAAAAATACTGAGGGATAGAAGTAAGAAGGGAAATGGATAAAGGAGTGAATTTAATATCTATAAATATTAATTGGTTAAATGATCCAGTTAAGAGAAAAAGAGTATTTTTTAAGTTAGAAAAACAAAGAGCTGATATGATTTGTATTCAAGAGGTTCATATTAAGACACGTGATCAAGGATATTTAGTAAATAAAAAACTGGGGAAAATGTATTCAGCATTGGCAGAAGAGAAAAAAAGAGGGGTAGTACTATATGTAAGAGGACATAGCCTCAAAATTGATTTATAAAGATTAATTGGGAATAATAGTAATGGTAGAGATGGCAATACAAAATAAAAAGACATTATTAGTGGAGATATATGCCCCCAATAAAAATCAAAGTAAATTTTACAAAATTTTATATGAGAAATTAATAGAATTTCTCAAGAATTTGTATTATAGGAGATTACAACGCAATAACAAACAATAGTAAAGATTATGCCTTTGAACAAAGACAGTATAAGAAACGGAATACATTGCCTAAGAAATTTCTAGAGATGGTTGAAGAATTAGAACTAGTGGATATGTGGAGGAAGAGAAACCCAGGAATATCACAGTTCACTTTCTACTCCAGCCCACACAAATCATGGTCCAGGATAGATATGGCTTGCGTAAATAGTGAGTTATGCAAGGAAATTCAGGTTATAAAGATTTTGGCTAATACATGGGCAGATCATAATCCAGTACAGATAATATGGAAAAATAGTTTCTATAAAAAAGGTAGATGGACACTCAATTCACAATTATTGAAGGAGGAAAAATATATTCAAAAAGTTAGGGAAGAACTGACTAGTTTTTTTAAAATTTAATAAGAAACAGGATACCTCATTGCAGAATCTATGGGATACTATGAAGGCATATTTAAGGGGAATATTGATAGCTTTTACAGCAAATAGAAATAAATAAAGAGAGGGAAAGCGGAAAGCTCTAATAGAAAGAATAGAGAAAATGGAAAATAAGCAAATGGGAACCCCGGGGGATGAACAAATTAGAAATGAATTAGCGTTAGTTAAACATGAAATGAATATTTTAGATCAAGAGGAATTAATTAAAAAATTACTATATACAAAACAAAATTATTTGAACATGCAAATAAATCCGGTAGGTGGCTGGCATATAAATTAAGAAAAGAAAATCAGAAAAGAACAGTATATCAATTAGAGGATAAAAATGGAATAATAGAGATGGATCTGGAGAAAAAAAAAAGGAAATTGCAAAAGAATATTTTGAGGATCTTTATAAACAAGAGGAAGTTGATTTAAATAAAACAGAAGAATATTTGAAAGAAGGAATTCTGTACCCTTCACTGGATGATTAAAAAAGAGCTGCTTAATAAAGAAATAACCTTAGATGAACTAAAGGCAGCGATTCAAAAACAAAAAAGAAACAAAACACCAGGTCCAGATGGACTACCAAATGAATTATATAAAGTGATAGGTGCCTTGTGTTCTCAAAATTATAAAATGACAATGTCAACAGCATATAAAGAAAATTTGTATAAGATGTTTTACAGGTGGAATATCCCCCGACGAGAATAGCAAGAATGTTCAAGAATAAATCCAAAAAATGTTGGAAATGTCATCAGACACCTGGCTCATATTACCACATGTGGTGGACTTGTGCAGATGCTAAAAAATATTGGACTAAAATCCACACGTGGTTGGAAAAAATGACACAAAAGCATATAGACTTGAAACCAGAGATATTTTTATTGTGAATTTTACCTGAAATATATAGTAAAGATTTGAAATACCTGATTGTAAATGTATTAACAGCCGCTAGGATTGTATTTGCTAAAAACTGGAAAAATGAGAAAATACCATCACAGGAGGAAATTATTAAGAAAATATTGGAATGTGCTGAAATGAGCAGATTGACATTTGAAATTAGAGAACAGGATGATAAACAATTTTATAAAGTTTGGGATCTATTCTATCAATGGTTAGACAATAAAGTATAGTAACGAAATATGTAGACTTTTAGAAAATACTAAATATATAAAGATGTATTCTTTTCTTATTATATCTATAAAATGTTTTTAGGATAGATTTGGGATGATAATATGAATTGTCACAAAACAAATTAAGTAAAATATGATTATTTTCCAAAGCATGAATGAATAAAAGTATAGTCAAGTGATTGATTAATAATGATACCAATGTATTTAATATTGGATTGAAAATATAAGATCATATACAATGTAATTGTAATTGAAGACTATGAAATGGAAGCACAAAACAATTTGTAAACCAACCGGCACACTGTATGCACATATATGGAAGATGATTTGATGTTTTTATGTTTTGTTTGTTTATGTTTGTTTTAAAAACTAATAAACATTATATATATATATATTAAAAAAGTGATAGGTGCCACACTAGAGGATATGCTATTAGAGGTCTGCAATGAGGTATTACTGGAAGCTAAAATTCCAGAATCATGGAAGGAAGCTTACATAACATTGATTCCGAAAGAGGGTGTAGATGTCAACCAAATAAAGAATTATAGACCAATATCACTTTTAAATTCAGATATACAATTTTTATGGCGATAATGGCGGAAAGATTAAAGAAAGTACTTAGTAACAAAATTCATTAGGATCAAAATGGCTTTCTTCCCACGAGGCAGATTAGGTATAATACAAGAATAATAACAGACATATTAGAATATTATGAAAAACATCCAGGAAGCCAAGTGGCCTTGGTCTTCCTGGATGAGCAAAAGGCTTTTGACAACTTAAATTGGGCCTTTATGAAGAAGCAGATTAACTTGATGGACTTTGGAGGTAATTTTGTAAAAATGCTAAATGCAATTTATGCTACACAAAAGGCTAACGCATTATTAGAAATTACTAAATCATTAAAGATAAGAAAGGGTATCAGACAGGGATGCCCTCTTTTCATAACAATTTTAGAAACTTTGTTGGATAGAATTAGATCAAATAAAGAAATTAAAGGAACCAAAATTAAAAGTCAAGAGTATAAATTACAGGCCTTCGCAGATGATATGGTTTTTGTTATAGAAGACCCAATAGACTCAGGAACAGCTTTACTAAATGAAATAGATAAATCGGTAAACTGGCAGGATTTAAAATTAATAGGGGAAAAACTAAAATGCTAGTTAGAAATTTATCAAATAGTAAACAAACAAAAAAAGGAAGAAAAGACGGGATTACAAACTGTAAATAAGATCAAATATTTAGGTATCTGGTTAAGACCTACAACATTAAATCTGTGGGAGAACAACTACACCAAATTACTGAAACAGATTGAAAACGATTTGGAAAATTGGAATGAGATGCAAATTTCATTATTAGGCAGAATAGCAACAATCAAAATGAATGTTTTACCTAAAATACTATATCTGTTTCAAACAATTCCGATATTATTGGATAAAAAATTCTTCAAAGAATTAGATAAAATTGTGATGAAATTTATCTGGGCAAAGAAAAAAACGAGAATAAAAAATATATATTTACAAGATAACAAAAGCAGAGGTGGATTTGGACTCCCTGCCTGGGAGATCTATTATAAAGTGGCGGCATTAGTATAGATAAAATATTGGATCAATCTGAGGAACAATAGAATTTTAAAATTGGAGGGCCACGACTTACAATTAGGGTGGCACGCATTTTTGTGGAACCTGAATAGCCAAAACAATCTATACTTTACTAGACATGTATTCTGAAAGCCATTAATTAAAATTTGGGCTGATATTAGAAGAAATCATTATACCAAAATTCCGAGGTGGTTTTCAGTGATGGAAGCAATGTTCCACTTAAATACGATGGATATCAGTAAAAAACTGAAGTACCATCAAATATTAGTTAAAGAGGGAAGAATTAAAACGATACAGGAACTAGAAGCACTAGGGATAGTCATTGATAATTGGTCATATTTCCAAGTAAAATTGAGATATAATAAAGACGTAAAGGGATATGGAATTGAGGTAAAAGATACACATTTAGATAAAATACTCTCAAGTCCTGAGAAAAAGTTGATCTCTAAACTATATAATTATCTATTAGAACATGAAATGGCTGAGAGAACTGTGAAAGGACCAGTGAAAGGGAAAAAAACTTTGGTCATAGTATAGAGCTGGATGACTGGGAAGAAATTTGGCAAAAAAAATCTTGTATCAATAAATCAGTAGCACATAAGGAGAATCTGTATAAAAATGATGTATAGATGGCATCCGGCACCCTCTAGATTGGTCAAAATATTTCCGACAGCAAACCCATGCTGTTGGAAATGTAAAAGGAACTCTGGTATCTATTTTCATTTATGGTGGACTTGTCCTGATAGAAGAAATTACAGAGTGTGGGCTGGAGTGGAAACCGGAACTGTTCCTGTTGGGAATGATTAAAGGGGATTATACCCCTAAAGTAAGATATCTGACCATCCACTTATTAACAGCGGCACGGATTTCATTAGCACAATATTGGAAGAATCCAAATGTACCACCAATACATGTTGCTATTCAAAAAACGTATGAGTGTGCCCAATTGGAGAGGCTCACACTCAAAATCAATGGGAAGGAGGACACAATTATAGGATATGGGATAAATGATACAACTGGGTAGATTGTAAAGGGAAAACACGTAAATGAACCCAAGAAACAAATTATATTCAGCTGTCTATGCAAAATGTATAAGAATAACAAAGGTGTTAAATCCTCTTTTCTCCTACATTATTATTATTATTAGCATTATATATTCGCTATATATTTTTATTTATTATTTAAAAAATTATGAATGTATTATTAAAAAATAGTTATAAACGAACGAGAAGATTAGTAGAGTATTGTGAGTTATTTAGTGATTAAGATGTGATAGTAAATGGAAATGTGAGAAGTGTCAGTAATGACTATTAGGTCGTATCAAATTCGATATCACATGTAAAGAGGAATGTGTTATGTATACGCTATTGGTTTTGTATTTTTAAATTTGTATGTTTTTAATTCTTGTAAATAAAGTTTAAAAATTTTTTTTTAAAAAAAGAATCATTCAGTGATCTATCTATCTGCTATCAGCTAGCTCATTCTCTCAAATTTACTTGCCGTGAATCTGCATTGAATTTGCTTGCAAGCAAACCTTCAGTCCTAAGGGAGGTTCGGCTGTACTTAAAGAAGAGCCGAAGATCTAAAGACTGGCTAGAAAGCAAGAAATCCAACCATTTCCTGCTTCCTAGCTAATCTAAATCTCCCGGCTCAGCAGAACAGATGATGGTTGGAAAAAGGAAAAATAGCAACTTAGCAGACAAGTTTGCCGGGTAAGGAGTGAGTGGGCGGGAAGGATTCTCGTGGGCCATGTGGGCTGAACAGCCTTGTGTTTCTGCGCAGCCTGGATTAATTGCTTTGGAGCGGGGGTGCTCTGGGGGTGAGATTTCTCTGCGGCCCACCAAAATTTTCTCATGGCCCACCAGTGGGCCGAGGTCCCCCCAGTTGGCGACCGCTGCTCTAGAGATACTATCAGCATCGTGAATCTTAATATAGCAGTTCCTCAGTATAGTAGTCCTCCATTTGCAACCATAATTGAGCCTAAAATTTCTGTTGCTAAACAAAACATTTACTAAGATAATATTAATTGTGTGTTAAAATATATTGTGAATTTCAAACTTTTAAGGATTAGAAATTGTGGGAAGTTGGAGATATAATCCCGGGGTCAATTGAATACTGTTAAAATCTGGATTGATCAGTAGTGTTGTTAAGTGAATCTGGCTTTCTGCAATGATGTCGCTCATCAGAAGGTTGTAAAAGGAAACCAAACAACTCCCGGACACTGCAACCATCATAAATGTGAGACAGTTGCCAAATGTCTTGATTTTGAGCACATGGATGCTGCAACAGTCATGGGAAAAAACGTCCTGTTGCTTTTTTCACTGCCGTTATAACATTGAATGGTCACAAAATGTATTCTTCTACATGGCTCAGCTGCTTTGAAACTCATCAAATTTGGTACCTGACGCGTTTTGATGTGACCATTTTATCCCGGTACTCATCATTTGTTCGGTATTCAACACACAAAGTAGAACTGTCAGCATCGGCTGCCTTATGACTCACTACATCAGGGTTGTCAAACTCGCGACGACATTGTCATCACGAGACGTTATCACCCCAGGGATAATGCAGCAGTCCTAAATATGAACCAGTTGCTGACAGTCTGAATGTTGATCAGATAATCCGGGGGACTCTGCAAAGATCCTATTCTTCAGTGCCGTGGTGACTGGAACTGTTGTAAGTCAAAGACTATCTGTATAATCTCGTCTCGAGTTTTTAGAGTTGGGGACCCTCCCTCACAGTTCTGGCCCTTACCTCTTTCGTATTTCAGCAGAAATCTGTTCCTTGCCCAAAATTTCCAACTGTAAGTCAGCGTCACATTGCCACCCTTTATGCGAATCGATTCCGGCACTGTGTAACCGCACAATTTCCTGGACAGCTGATTGGGCGCACGGATTATCAGCATTTCTGACCCACAGGAAAGGATGAAGTGCTGGAACCTGTTGGGAAGGGGGAAATCAAAAATACCCCAGACTCAAATCGGATTTGTCTTTCTAGGTGCAAGCCCCGAAGAGGCATTTCTGAAGAGGCCTGTTCTGTCCTAGGCCTCCCCAAAAGGCACTAAGTCAATTTTGAGTCCTGGCAAAAACCTCTTTTATTACATTAATGTGAATTTATTTCATTCACAGTCAGCCAACAGCTTGGCAAACAGCCTTGCAAAGGTATTCTAATTAGCTCAGACCTTTATCAATCCCGGAAGACTGCTTGGTATAATTCCACACTCAGTGCTGACAGGGAAGGTCTGGGTTATACAGACAAATCTTCACGAGGCTGGAACGAACGAGCAAATCGTTTCCTGCAAAAGCCCCCTCCCCTTTTGCTTCTGTTTTAATCCTGATGGGAGGGGCCATTCATCGTCCAAATGTGACCTTACTCCCACATCGACCCTGAGTTCTTAATTGTGCCTTCCTTTTGGCAGCTCTGCGCATGCGCAGGCTGGGAACCGGTTCCAGAAGCTTCCCCGCCTCACTGCTGTCCAAGCCCAAAGGCAGCTGATGACTGCCAGCCTGCCCTGGCCCCATCTCTGCCTCTGACGCAGAGCCCTCGTCCGAGCCTTCCTCAGCCTCTAGGACTGGCCTGGGTTCCTCCCCAACCTCCTCACTACTGTCCAATTCTGCTGCCAGCTCCGCCAGCCACCGGCGGGCCACAACAAGGCCAAAAGGCTGAAAAAGGAAGATGTTTAACAGAATGCAGAATAACAGCGTTGGAAGGGAACTTGGAGGTCTTCTAGTCCAACCCCCGTACTCCAGCAGGAAATCCTGAAACATTTCAGAAAAATATTTAACTGCATCCTTCATCTGAAATCTTCCCAAACACAGAATATCAGAGTTGGAGGGGATCTTGGAGGTCTTCTAGTCCAACCCGATGTTTCAGCAGAAAACCCTATATTATTTGAGACAAAATGGCCATCCAATCTCTTCTTAAAAACCTCCAGTGTCGGAACATCTGAAAATTCTTGTGGCAAGTCATTCCACTGGTTAATTGTTCTCACAGTCAATAAATTTCTAAATTGCTTCTCTCTTGCCATCCTTTCCTACTTTTAATTAAATAATTCTCTTTTATCCCAGAAGAGAAAAATCTCCCTTGTGCTAAGCAACTTTTGGAAGAATGTCAGGCTTAAAAAAAATAAATGAAAAGGAGAAAAAATGAATATTGTACAGCCAGGCCTTATAACCCAAATGGAGCCCCAAATGTCCATTGCTAAGTGAGGCAGATGCGCTGTCAATTGCACCTCATTGTACGATCTTTCTTGCCACAGATGTTAAGCGAATTGCTGCAGTTCTTAAATTCATCGTGCAGTCGTTAAGTGAATCTGGCTTCCTCCATTGATTTTGCTGGTTGGAACTGATTATAAGTACATGCCAGTTTCTAAGTGACCAAATTTTGATCAGGAGAACATGGGGTTGCTGTAACTGTTATAAGTGTGAATAAAGGTCATAAGTCACTGTTTTCCAGTTCCGTTGTAACTTTGAATGGTCCCTAAACGAACAGTTGTAAGGACTGTATATTGTTACAGTGAATCGTTATGCTTCTAGATATAATTAACTAATGCAAACATTTTGCAAGTGTGCTTGTGTATTTGCATTCGTTTCTAGTACACTTATATAACCATCACGATTTTTTAAAACACTTGCTGTTTATTTTTAATTTATGTATATATTTTTTGTGTCTGGTACCTTCTGGTTTCTTTCTTCTTCTTTTTTCTGTTATTATTTTAAAAGCAATTAAAATATATATTTAAAAAAAAGCTTTGGAAAGCCTTGGCATTACATGAATAACCCATGGAGCAGGAGTTGCCTTCGGAAGTTGTGGGAGCTTCATCCTTGGACGTTTTCAAGAAGAGACTGGACTTCTGACATCTGTCAGAAATGGTGTAGGGTCTCCTGCTTGAGCGCGCAGGGGGGGGGGGTGTTGAACTAGATGACCTACAAGGTCCCTTCCAAATCTGTTATTTTATTCTACGACATGGGGACTTGAAGATGTGTCCAGTTTCAGACAGGTTGAAGAAACTTGAATTGCTCAAGAGAAGGAGATTCAGAAGCGATTTAGCCATGATTAAGTACTTATGGGGAAATTGTCCTCAAAGATGCTTTTTCAAGACTTTCTGGAAAATCCAGTTGCCTCTTGAAGAAGCATCTATGGGACAGCCATGATCCGTATCACTGAGAATCTCCATAAACATTTATGAGCAAATCCAAGAAGTATTTTTCATGGCTAAAGAAATACTCGTGTTTCCCCAAAAATAAGACTGCATCTGATTTTCTTTTGAGCCCCCAAATAAGCACTAGGGTTTATTTTCAGGTTTTTTTTTTCCTCTCTCCATGAACTGGAGGCCCATTTCTTCCGCTTGCTTGCAGTAGGGACAGGCTGCGTGGTGCGCTAGTGCTGTCACTGCAAGACGGAGGGGGTGGAGCTACGCCACGTGCCCTCTACTGGCTTACCTCAGGGCCCCCACAGCCAGGCCACCCATGCCCCGACACTCGCCTCGCGGCTGCGGCACCACCATACTGCTTGGCCTCCTGCTCCGTTGCTGCTGCGAGCAAGCAGAAGTGGGTCAGGGCCATGTGGGCTCCTGCCGTGAAACAAGTTTCGGGGCATGGATGGCCTGGCTGTGGGGGCCCTGAGGTAATCCAGTGCAGGGTGTATGGGGCAGCTCCACCCCCTGCCTCGCTGTCGTGGCACCGTGAGTAACCAGAATGGACAGCCGCCCAGCTGCGCAGGCTCTTAAGTAGAGCTTACTTTGGGGTTAGGGCTTTCATTAGGTGCACGTATAAAACACTTGCTAGGTCTTATTTTCAAGATAGGTCTTATTTTTGGGAAAACAGGGTAAATAAGTAAATAAATACATAAACAAACCAGGATTGATAGAAATTTAAGATATCAAAACTTAGTTTAAATGCAGGTAGTTCTTGACTTACAACAGTTCATTTAGTGACCAAAGTTACAATGTCACTGACAAAAGGGGCTTACGGCCGTTTTTCACACTTACAAACATAACAGCTTCCCTACAGTCATGTGATCAAACTTCAGATGCTTGGCAACTGACTTGTATTGATGATGTTTGTGGTGACCTTGGGGTCACGTGATCCCCTTTTGTGTCCATGGGGAAAGCCCGATTTAAGAAGTGCAGGGATTCACTGAACCACTGCGGCAAGAAAGGTCATAAATTGGGAAGCAACTCACTTAGCAAATGTCTCATTTAGCAATGGAAAGTTCGGGTTCAATGGTGGTTATAAGTCGAAGACTACCTGTATAAAGAAAAAACAGCCTTCCTATGGTGGTTTGGGTTTCCCCCCCATCTCTGGAGTCCTATTACAAAAAGGCTGGACAGCTACCTCTCCTAGATGGTTTAAGAGATTAGCAGAGTTGGAAGGGACCTTGTAGGTCATCTAGTCCAACCCCTCTGCCCAAGCATGAGACCCTACAGCTTTTGGACAGCAGGTTGGCCTAGATGACCTTTGTGGTTCCCTCCTTCCTTCTGCACTGTCATTATTGAAAGGACCCTTCTCCTCAAGGTCTATAAATCAAGATTTGCAGCGCTTACTACGTTTTAGGTCTGCATGTTCTTTTCAAACTTTTTAAGATCTAAGGACTTCAATTTTGCTAGGCATATTACCAGAGAAATATGATAAAGGAAATGTATATTTAATATTACATGTTTTGACAACAAGCAAGAATTGTACTTGCACAACACTGGAAAAATGAGGAAACACCCACAGAAGAAGAAATAATAATAAAAAAATATTAGACCATGCAGAAATGGACATTCACATCGAAGATAAAAGATATAAAAAGAATATTTTCAAACTTGGGACTTATTTTATCCATGGTTGGATAATTGGGTAGAAACTAGGAGATGAATATTGTCATGTAAACAAATTGACTCTGTACGCTGTTCACTAAGCACCTGTTGTATACAAAGAGAAAAAACCGGAAGTTTTTAAGAAGAGATTGGATAGCTATTTGTCTGAAGTGGTGTAGGGTTTCCTGACCAGGGGGTTGGACTAGAGAACCTCCAAGGTCCCTTCCAACTCTTTCTTTTCTATTCTATTCTATTCTATTCTATTCTACTATTCTATTCTATTCTATTCTATTCTATCCTAATGTATCCTAATGTATCCTATCCAATCCTATTGTATTCAGAAAGAAAAACAGTAAAACACTCACTTAACAAATATTGTATATAAAAGAAAGCTCTAAGGACTTCAACTCCCAGAATTCCTCAGCCATCCAGCCATGATGGTTGAGGAATTCTGGGAACTGAAGTCCATACTTCTTAAAGTTACAGTGTTTTTTTTAAAAACCCTGACTGATTTGGATCCTGTATTATTCAATTGTAGACTCTATTGCTCACCCAATGTAGATGATATCGTCCGGGCCACCCACGATCACCCAGGAACAGCTGCTGGAAGTCGTCACATGGACCGAAGGGCTATGGATTTGGCCTTGCGGTTCTCTTCGGACATCGGGATAACCTGGACAAACAGCTGTCGAGGTGGAAAAAGAAAAGTCAGGAGAAGGATGACTCCTCTGTGGCTTTTCCCCCCCTAGCTCTTTAGCTGTTCCCAGACTCCTCCTCTTTTGGTCACTTTTTAATCCTTGTTCCAATGAAGATTCATTTAGTGACTGTTCAAAGTTAATCCCCATTCAAATCATGAGTCTCTAGCCGCGTTACCTGGGTGCAGCCAACTCTGAGACACATCATTCATCTCACCCTTGACCCTGGGTTTCCCCCACACCCTGGCTGTATATTCTCCAATGGGACACATCCATAGCCAAGAGTCATCAATCATGCTCTCCGGTAATAATCTTGTTTGCCAGAAGCTTCGGCCGCCTAGCAATTATCTATGAAAGCATTTAAGAAATGCACTGCTCACCCCACTCCCTTTCTGCTGACAACTCTAAAAGACCAGAGAAATATTTTTGAATTGATATCGTACTTATAACGGTTTGAAGCACCTCGTGTGATCCCCATTTGCGACATTCTGACAGCCATATCTACTTAATGACCCAGGTTATTGATTTAATAAGTGCAATGGTTCACTTAACAAAGAGTGGCAAAGGAAAATTGTACAATGGGAGCAGGGGGGCGAAGCTCACAGAAACATCTTGCTTGTGACATAAATGCTGGTCTTGGTTTTGGTCATAAGTCGAGGACTACCTGTTAATGTAGAAATCCAGTCCGGGATTTCCTAATAACCTCAGCCACTTTAAGATGTTTGGATTTCAACTCCCCTGTGGCTGGCTGGGGATTCTGGGAATTGAAATCCCTAAATAAATAATAAAATAATAAATCCCTAAATCTCAAAAGTTGCTGAGGATTATAATTCCAATCATTTCTCGGAATGATTACACATCCCAGCTTCAAAAAGCACCCAATTCTCTTTATCTTGCTTGCTTTTGTAATCTTTTTTAAACAGAATGAGAGAAGACGTGTGGATTCAAAAATAATAATAAAAGTCCTCACTTTGTGTATTTTCCTCTCTGTCTTGCAAAACAACACACACAAACACACCTCTGCCCCAACCTGGATGCTTTCCTCGGGTGCAATCCTCAGGACAGGTCCTCCTCGTTCGTTTACTGACTGATTGGATTTACAACGGCCCTGGACAAAGGGACTTATGACCGTTTTTCACACTTACGACCATTTGCAGCATCTCCATAGCAAAATTCGGACACTTGGCAACTGATTCATATTTATGACAGTCGCAGTGTCCCGGGGTCACGTGATCCCCGTTTGCGACCTTCTGACAAGCCAAAGTGAAGGGGGACAGCCAGATTCATTTAACGACCATGTTAATAACCGCAGTTGTTAAATGAATCAACCTAGAACTAAGCAACATAGAATTAAGGAGAAATTTCCTGATGGTTAGAACAATTGTGTGAATGCTCCAACACTGGAAGTTTTTAAGAAGAGATTGGGAAACCATTTGTCTGAAATGGTATAGGTTTCCTGCCTAAGCAAGGTCCCTTCCAACTCTGTTATTCTATTCTATTTTATATGTGGAAAGAAAAATCTTAAAAATGGGGCAACACTCGCATAACAAATTTCTCACTAACCAACATAAATTTTGAGCCCAATTGTGGTCGTAAGTCGAGAACTACCTGTACAGACAATCCTTAATTTTCAGTTTTAAAACAATGATGCCTCATGCTTCCCCCCAGATTCCCTTGATTATACAGGGAGTCCTTGATTTACGACCGCAACTGAGCCCAAGTTTTCCGACGCTGAGCAAGACGGTGGTGAGGCAAACTTCGCCCCACGTTACAACCTTTCTTGCTGTAGCTGCTAAGCGAAACGCCACCATTGGGAAGTTAGTCACCCAGTTGTGAAGTGAATCTGGCTTCCCCCTTGATTTGGCTTGTCAGAAGGTCGCAAAAGGGGATCGCGTGACACGCCCCCCCGGGATGCTTTGACCGTCATAAATGTGAGTCAGTTGCCAAGCATCTGAATGTTGATCACGTGATTGTGGGGTGCGGCAACAGTTGTAAATGGAAAAAGTCACTTTTTCCAGGGCCGTTGTAACTTTGGTCACTAAATGAATGAAGTTGAGGCCTAGCTTGGAAAATGCGCCTTCTCTGGGGCAGCCCCTGCCCTCTGCAATGAGGTCTCCCCCCCCACTCTCCCCACGCCCCAGATCTGGATAGTGTTCTGACCTAGGCTTCTCCAACAGCACGAAGTCGAGTCCTTGTCTGGATAAACCTCTTTTATTTAATTTACAATGAATTTTCTCTCCAACAATGTCCTGGCCAACAGTCTTTCAAGATTACTCTCAATTACAGACCTTTATCAAGCTTGGAGAGTGGCCAGGCCGATATCTTTCAGATGCCGCAATACTTGGCAAGCGTGCCGGAATGAACTAATTGTCTCCTGCAAAGTCCTCTCCCCTTTCGCTCCTCTTTTATAGTCTAGGTGAGAGGCCATTCACCATTCACCTGTGGCTTTACTCTCAAGTCAGCCCTTGTTCCTCAGCTGTTCCCTTCTTCTAGCAGCTCTGTGCATGTGCACACTGGGAACAGGCTCCAGCTGTTCTTCTTCCTTACTGATCTCTGATTCTGAAGGCAGCTGATAATTGTCAGACGGCCCTGGCCCCATCTCTGCCTCCGACACAGAGCCCTCATCAGAGCCTTCCCCAAACTTCATGTTCCTCCCCAAACTCCTCACTGTCTGGCTCTGCTGCCAGCTCTGCCATAGTTCAAAAGCGACAAAAATCCAGTAGGATTTTGGCAAGGGAGGGTAAGACCTACTTGCTAACTGTTATTTTTAATTTATTTTACTTTAATTCTTTTCTTTCGTTATGTGCCTGCCAGAGTTCAGAGGCAACTTATAAGTTTAATATATAATTATAAGTTTATATAAACTCATGGAATAAGTTTCTATAAGAAAAAGAATACATTATAATTTATTCTTATATAAATATAAGAATAAATTATTATTGCTAACCTGGTTCCCTCCTTACTACGGTCTTACTCACCTGTACGTGAGGAGTTACTTTCCACAGCCTGAATGATACCTAAGAGAAGGGAAAGCAAAACAAATTAAAATTTAGATGAGTATTTTTCAACCTCAGCCATTGTAAGTTGGGTGGACTTCAATTTCCAGAATTCCCCAGTCAGAATTCCCCAGTCAGCCATGCTGGTCTGTGGAATTCTGGGAGTTGAAGTCCACCCGACTTAAAATGGCTGACAAACACTATTCTAGATTAATTTGATTTCCCCCCCTGCATCTCACACAGGCCCTTATGAACTTTCAGATCATGATTTGAGTTCGTGGTTTGACAACACATCCCCAAAATTTTCTTTGTAGTCATGTCAAGGTGTTCTGTCATTTCTTTTGCCTTATATTTCTTTTCAATGAGGTAGCCCTGCCTCCAATAGTGAGATTTTTTTTCTTTTTGTATACATTTTTTATTTTTTGTTTCTTTAAATACATTATTGAGTGAACAGTGTGGTTTCAGGTTTTTTAACATTTTAAAACAAACATGACCATAATTTCATATTCATACTATTAACTTTCTTATGATTTAATATTATTACATATTACCAATTTTATCATTCAGTATTCTCATATTTTACCTTATATCAATATCTATATTAATATCATTTTATACATATTCTTGTAGTCACATTTGCAAAGTTTATCTAATTATATAATTCAAATAATCATTCATAAATTCATCTTAATTTATATTGTCCACTATTTATCCCCTTTTTAATGTTGGTTGTGCCACTATTATATTTTTAAAATACATCCCTCTCTAATCTCATTACATTACACAAATCATAATTTCTGTCTTGCTTTCATTTAACAAATTACATATTCTAATAAACATAATCATTTTTATCTATTACTATGGTCTCCTTTCCCTAAGATATTTTCTAGTGGTTTAAAATCCCTTTGCTGAAATCAGCTAGGTGGGCTCACTTAAATCAAGGTACAATTTTCAAGGTTTGCTCTATTCCTGTGAATTCCCCACTTTGATCTGTTTATTGTTTTGCCAATAAAGAGTTTTCACTTTTTCCCCTGATTATTTTCCATGGATAATGTCAACTCAAACACTAAGCTGCATTAACAGTGATATAAATCAGGAACATGTGAAGTTTTATTATTGCTTTATGAGGCCTTGGGAAGCACAAACTGGAATATTACATCCAGTTTTGGTCCCACAATTTTAAAAAGATGTTGAGATTCTAGGAAAGAGTGCAGAGAAGAGCAACAAAGATGATTAGGAGACTGCAGGCTAAAACATATAAATAATGTATGCTGGAATTGGGTATGTCTAGTCCAGAGGTCTTCAAACTTTACAGTTTTAAGACTTGTGGACTTCAACTCTCAGAATTCCTCCTCCACTCATGTTAGCTCAGGAATTCTGGGAGTTGAAGTCCACAAGTCTTAAACTTGCCAAGTTAGAAGATCTAGTTCGATGAAAAGGAGAACTGGGAATGACATGACAACTATATTCCAATATTTGAGGGGCTGCCACAAAGAAGGGGGGGTCAATCTATTCTCCAAAGCACCTGAAGGCAGGACAAGAAGCAACAGATGGAAACTAATTAAAGTGAAAAGCAACCTAGAATGAAAGACAAATGTTCTGATGGTGAGAATAGTTAACCAGTGGAACAACTTGCCACCAGAAGTTGTGTCACTAGAGGGTTTTAAGAAAAGATTGGACAGCCATTTATCTGGAATAGTATAAGGGAAGGTGTCAGCCTTCAAGATCTTCTTTCTGGCTGTCATGAGTAAGGTGGGGGGAGGAAGGGGGAAGGCCGGAGATGTTACTAATATTGTATAAACTGAGGAGGGTTTCTATTTCTTGCTTGGCCTTCTCTGCCCAACTGCAAACCTTTATTTGAGTAAGCCAAGGTCAACTAATCATCACCACCTGGAGATGTCCACATGCTGAGGTTCACAACGTTTAATTGGAAGAACCGTTTGAACTGTTGGGGGTAGGGACATTTCACTCCCTTGATATATGTGATGTACGTGCCTATTTCCTCAGATTCAGAATTCTCTTGTTGCTACCACTTGACTTCCAGTAAAAGATATCTTTTCTCTAATTTACAAGAGTCTAAGTATTTCTTTCTTGGATTTTGAACGGAGCACCAGCTGACAGAAGATTCCTGTGTGCTTGACCTGTCAGATGGAGGGATGGATCCCGCAGCCTCTATAGGATTTTTTGCTTGAGCAGGGGCTGGACTAGAAGACCTCCAAGGTCCCTTCCAACTCTGTTATTCTGTTACTGTTATTAATCAGCGGAAGTTGCCTCCAGAAGTTGTGGGTGCTCCAACACTGGAGGGTTTTAAGAAAAGATTGGACCACCCTTTGTCTGAAATGGTCTAGGGTCTCCGGAGGCTGGACTAGAAGACCTCCAAGGTCCCTTCCAACTCTATTATTCTATTATTGTATTATCAATACATCCTACAACATTCAGATATTTTGGGGGGATTCCATTTAATGCCCCCCCCTTTTTTAGCATGAAAGGCTGGACTGTTGAGAAAAAAAACAGGCCATCAAGAAAAATGGAAGAAAGAGGGGGAAAAAATCATTGCACCCAGTTTTGTTCACCACACTATGAAAAAGATGTTGAGACTCTAGAAAAAGTGTCGAGAAGAGCAACCAGGATGATGAGGAGACTGGAGGCTAAAACATAAGATGAAACAGTTGCAGGAACTGGGCTTGGCTAGTCTAGTAAAGAGAAGGACCAGGGGAGACAGGAGAGCAGTCTTCCAATATTTGAGGGGCTGCCACAGAGAGGAGGGGGACAAGCTATTTTCCAAGGAACCTGAAGGCCAGTGAAGGAACAATGGATGGAAACTGAACAAGGAGAAATTCACCCTGGAAATACAGACGTTTTTTGACAGTGAGAACAATCAACCGACAGAACAGAAGTTGCCTTCAGAAGTTGTGGGAACTTCATCCTCAGAGGCTTTCAAGAAGAGACTGGACTGCCATTTGCCACAAATGGTGTAGGGTTTCCTGCTTGGGCAGTAGCGGGGTTGGACTAGAGAACTTTCAAACGTACCTTCCAACTCTATTAATCTGTTAAAGACCCAAGGACCAAGACGTGGAAAGGCGGAATCAACTTGCCACTCAAAAGCATTGTTTCACCAGCCAAAACAAACTACAAAACCGGAAGCCGCTCGCTTAAGAATGAGGTCAATCTGCCTTTCCAACTCCTGACCTTCACAGCTTACTTCGAGAACCAGGGGAAAAGGGAGGGGGCAGGTTATATTTCCTCTGCAACCCCACCTGATTGAGGGGAGGAAGGGGGCGGGGTGAGAGAAAAGGAAACCGAGTGGCGTCCTTACCCCAAAGCTGATCTACCAACTCCTACCAGACTGGGAAGTGTGGGGGATGAAGGGAGATTGTGGGAAATGAAGGGGAAGCGTGGGAAATGAACAGAAATTAGAAACATTGAAATATAAGAAAGGGACCAATGAAAAAAGGGAGGTTTGTTAAAACGGATAAGCAAGTATTGTTATTAGTTATTGTTAATTGTTATTATCATAGAATCAATAACAATGTAACGAACATTGCTGTAAACACTTAATTATTTTCTAAAACTATTCGTACCCAGGCAACACACTGTTTAACCAAATATGGAATTTTTATATGTTATAAAATTAAATCTATATATAAGCAAAAATAAATGAAGGGGGACCGTGGGAAACGAAGGGAAGGAGGGGATGGAAAGTGGGGGGGGGGCGTTCGCTCTCACCCAGCAGGAGCCCCAACAGAACGACGTAGGGGAGACCCCTCGTTTTGGCCCGGAGGGGCTTTCGGGTCCCCATGGCCCTCCGGATTGGAAGGAAGGAAGGAAGGCTCGTCTCTCTCTTCGAGGGGTCTCCGGGGGATTTTTCTCCCGGCCGGGTGGCCTGGCTGGTTGCCGCCTCCTCCTTCTCCTCCTCCTCCTCGGCGCTTCTCCCTTTCAACGGCCCATCCCCGGCTTGCGATCGCCTCTTCCCGGAGTCCGCCGGCTGCCCTGGGCGCTGGAAGTTCCACCTGGAGGGGAGGGGTTTCCTTTTATCCTGCGGGCGCCCCCCTCCTCCCGGCCGCGATGTTGGTAAAGTTTGTTTCCTTCGGCCGCTTCCGGGCTTTGGCAACTTTGTCGGCCGGGGAAAAAGTGGAAAGGGTGGGGTGGGGAGGAAAGCTACTTGACACCGCCTCTTCCTCCGCCGGGGCCCATCCCGCATTTGCGTTCACACGCAATTTACTCCTCCCTCCACCCACCCGATCCGGGCATCGCGGCGGGGGGGGGGGGTGTTCTTTGAACCTCCCCCCCAAGCCCCTCCTCCAGCCCCGATATGCCCTACCCACTCACCCCCCACCCCACCCCCACCCTGATGGAAATTGGGACCGCTTTGGAGTCCCGCGTGTCGTGGGAAGGGGGCTTTAAGGATGGGGGTGGCAGCCAGAAAGGGTCATCTGGAAAGTGGGGTGGGTGGGTTTTCCGGGGTTGCATAGGAGGGATTCCCCCCCTTCCCCCCCCCCCGACTTGAAAAATAATGGTAAGGGGGGGAGGAGGTTTCTGATCCAGGATCAAGGCCACCGCGGGAGGAAATTGGCCCTTTAAATGTGGGGGGGGCAGCCAGAAAGGGTCCCCTGGCAAGAGGGTGGGTGGGGTTGCATAGGAGGGATTTCCCACCCTTTTACACACATACACACACGGGGGGGGGGGCTTGGAAAGTAATGATAAGGGGGAGGGGGCTTCTGTTCTGATCCAGGTTCAAGCCCACTGCGGGAGGAAATTGAGGTCTGGCCCTTTAAATGTGGGGCCTGGGGATTCCCCTACATGGGATTGGGCTCTCCGGCAGCGCCTGGCGCCTCCTTCCGGCGCCCACGAGGTCCTGCAGGTGAGTCTCGCTTTGAAAGTCGCCTAGAAAGGGGTATAAAGCCATATGTTTCAAGCTCGGCCGCTTTAAGACGCCTGGATTTCAACTCCCAGAATTCTCCAGCCAGCAAAGCAAAGAATTCTGGGAGTTGAAGTCCAGGCTTCTTAAAGTGCCCGAGCTTAAAAAACAAAAACAAAAACTGAGCTTTCTTCTATCATCTGACTGCCCTCTAGCGGTCTTCTGAGGCACTGCAGCCCCGATAGAGTCACGTGATCGGCAATGTCTTTTGGGTTCTGGGTTTTTAAAATGTAGGTGTCCTTCCCCACCCCCCTCTTTAAATTAGCTCCATACCCGTGCTTCGCTATGCAACATCGGGCTTAGTTTTTGGGGAGGAAAATAAGGGGGGGGGAATTCTGCCTCTGCCTACCAGCATCCATCAGTATTCCTCTGGCTAACTTCCTGTCAGTGTGTGAGAGAGTTGAGGGCTGTTTGGAAACTGAAACAGTATTTGCTGTGTGAGCAAGGAGACAGCAAGGAGCCTGGGCTTGGCTTAGTTCAACTGTTCTGTCCTAAAGCTGCTTGGTGCTCTGAAACTGAAACTCCTCTGCTTGTGTTTTGCATTTGGAACAGATTCCTTTTCAGATGGGGAGGGGGAGTAGAACTCCTTAGCATCAGAGCTTGTTAATAATAATAATATAGGAAATACTAATGCTCCTATGGTCATTTCAAAAAACCATTTCTTGGTGAGCACCTAGAAATCAAGAGGAACATACGGGCCAAATTTCAATATAAATTATAAAGATGAATGAGTTAATCTTGACAAATATATCTTTTATTTTATGTACATTGAGAGCATTTGCACCAAGACAAATTCCTTGTGTGTCCAATCACACTTGGCCAATAAAGAATTCTATTCTATTCTATACAAGTATATATTATTCCCCATAGCAAAGAGAAGCAGAGAGGGTCAAATTGATTCTTTTATCCGAAGAAGCGAATATATCTAAGCTTGTTTCTATTCTGAAAAGACTCCCAGATTTTGTGCTTGCAATGTGGGAAGCCCCCGTCCACCTCGAAGAATGAAATATTTTGGGGAATATTAAAAGAAAAGGCAGAATATTATATTTCCCTAAAGAAGAAATGGAGAAACATGTTTTTAGAGGCAGAAAGCAGCCCCCAGTCTTTCTTAACAGCAGACGCCAGCACTTAAGAAGATAAGGAGTTTATTGAAAGAGGAATCCAACTATCCAGATGGCTCCATTCATAAGCAAAGCGAATACTGCCAGCACAAGTCCATTCGAGACAGGATATTTTGAAAACCTCTGTTGGAACGGAAAATCCATCTGGTTCACTTCCAAGCTGGGAGAAAGACACTTGGAAACAACATGGAGGCTGATTGGAAAGTAGGTTGATTGATGAAGCAGAACCACACAAAGACAGTGTGAAATTCCGGGTCTGCTGAACAAATGGTCTTTTTTTTTTTCAGTTCCATTGTAACATTGAATGGTCACTAAATGAACTGTTGTAAGCCAAAGCTTATCTATAAATAGAACAATCTTATTTTTTACTACTTCTCCTCTTCTTCCTTTTCTTCCTTCTCTTCCTCGTTTTCTCCTCCTCTTCCTCCATCTTCCTCTTTTTTCTTTTTTCTCCCTCCTCCTCCTCCTCCTCCTCCTCCTCCTCATTCTGTTTAATCACCCATCTTTTCCTATCCTTGTTCTTCTAAACCCAGGTGAAAGAATTGCAGGAGGAGAAAGGAGACGGGCCAACTTTAAGACTTTCGCTGTGCTGAGAACACGATTCCTGGGGAATAAAGACGATTGAGGGCAGCAAACCACCAACTCTGCAGTCCTTTGCGTTTGTTGATCTGCAACCAGAAGTGCCTTGTGCCTTTCTTCTTTCCCCTCACCCATTCATACCACAGATTGGGGTTTTTTATTTTTTATTTTTTAAATTATTTTCCTTTGCTCTCTAGCTCCAGACGTGGTTTCTGGCATTTACATTTTGCTGATTCCAGATTTTTTTATTTTTTTTAAGCTTTCCCACGTCCGCTTTCTCCCTGCCTCCTCCTTTTATTTTATTTTTCAGGGTATGGCCGAATTCCAGGAAGAATGGTCTAGAAATTGCACCAACTTTTAGTAACCTGGGGGAAGAGAGAGAGAAAAAAGAAATAAATTTATTTAGGGAGAGAGTAGGGAAGATGTTCCCCTCCCCCAAAGGAAGGATCTTGTGGCTTCTAGAAGGAGCGAAGCACCTTTTAATGACGGTTTCCCGGGAAGACAGATGAGGGAGACCGGAGAAACTAGGAGGTTTCAAACTCAGCAAAATCGGAGGGCTGAGTCAAATGGGCAACCCAGTATCCACAGCTGGCTGGCTGTGGGTGGGGGCGGGGGGCGGCAGGCAGGGATCATAGATGGGAGGAGAAGACAGACTGGCGGGGTGCGGGAGGTGGGGAGGAAGAATCTGCTGAGAGACCAAAAAACCCACAACTTTTGGACAGCAACAAAAGTTTTTGGCTTTAAGGATTCTTTTTTTTCCCTCCTGGAAGACTTCAGATTTCGTTCTGACTGGATGCTCTTTTTTGGCTTCTCCGACAGTGTTTCTGAACTTCGGGAACTTTTAAGAGGGGTGGACTTCAACTCCCAGAATTCCCCAGCTAGCCATGGGGAATTCTGGGAGTTGAAGTCCAGCTGTCTTAAAATCACCAGAGTTCAGAAGCACAGAGGTGGCATTGATAATTGCTCAGGAAGGAGAGGTCAACCCAAAATGGCTTCTGTTTTGTTCTGCCTGTGCTACCTTGCAGGGTTGTTGGAGAAGATCTGACCAAAGGCAGGTTATTGATTAATTGATGGATTTATATCCCGCCTTTATTATTATTGTTTTTATAAATAACTCAAGAAGACAAACGTATCTAATAGTCTTTTCTTCTCCTATTTCCCCCACAACGACAACCCTGTGTGGTGGGCTGAACTGAGAGAGGGACTGGCCCAAAATCACCCGGCTGGCCTTCAGGGCTAAAGGAGAACTAGAATTCACAGTCTCCTGGTGATTGGTCTACTTACCCAGCTGGCTTTCATGCCTAAGGCGGGACTAGAATTTACTGTCTCCTAGTGATTGGACCAGTCACCCAATCAGTTTTCATGCCTAAGGCAAGACTAGAATTCAGTCTCCTGGGTCTAGAATTCACAGTCCCTTGGTGATTGGCCTAGTTACCCAGTGGGCTTTCATGCCTAAGGTGGGACTAGAATTCATAGTCTCCTGGTGATTGGCCTGGTTACCCAGCGGGCTTTCATGCATAAGGCGGGACTAGAATTCACAGTCTCCTGGTGATTGGTCTAGTTACCCAGCTGGCTTTCATGCCTAAGGCGGGACTAGAATTCATAGTCTCCTGGTGATTGGCCTGGTTACCCAGCGGGCTTTCATGCATAAGGCGGGACTAGAATTCATAATCTCCTGGCGATTGCCCTAGTTGATTAGCCTAATGAATTATAGGTAGTTCTTGAGTTACAACCTCTCATTTAATGACCGTTCGAAGTTACAGCAACACTGAAAAAAGTGACTTAGGACCATTTTTCACACTTACAACCATGGCCGCATCTCCAGGGTCACATGTTCAAAATTCATTTGCTTGGCTACCGACTCATATTTATGATTTATATTTATGATGGTCCCCGGGGTTGCGCAATCCCCTTTTATGACCTTCCAACGAGCAATGTCAACGAGGAAGTCAGATTCACTTAACAACCGGGTGACTAAACTTAACAACTGCAGTGATTCACTTAACAATGGTGGCAAAACCGCAGCTGTAAAATTAAGGCCAAGCTCCCTTAGAAAACTACCTCACTCAGCAATGGCCATTTTGGGCTCAATCGCGGTCGTAAGTCGAGGACTTCTGGTAGCAACAAAACAAGATTGATTCTTCTTCTCTTGAAATGAAAAAGTCGCCACTTCGGAGAGCTTTCACCGTTTCACAAAACGGACATTTTGATTTGGGGCTACAATCAGGTAAGGCAACTTTCCTCCTCCCCCTTCTAGTTTGGTTCACAGGCCGCACAAATGTAAACTAATACCTCTGGAATGCGTTTCCTCCAGGTAGGGGATTTCTCAACCGACAACTGTTGTTTTGATCACCTTTGCAAGTAGCTGGTTCATTAGATCCCAGCCTCCTGTTTCAGCCGCACCCATTTGGTAGGGCTTACTTTTGGCCTCGCTCTTTGTCTAAAGAACGGCTAAAATCATAGGTGTGCATAACCACGTCGCATGCCTATATATTGTGCGTGTACACACACACACACACACATTATAT